ACTATCTCACTGACCCAGTACTAATGTTGTTGAAATACCAGTCACTTGTGAATACAGTGTTATGAGTGTGATAACCTCTATTATTATACATTTGTCACGGTAACGTAAGTTACAGCGTGCCATAATTTTGCTTTATTTTACGGGGTATTTTCATCCTAGCATATGAGGAAATGCGAATTCCAAATATGGAATACCCCGTATTATTACGGCTCTCTGTAACTTATGGCATTACATAGGGCTATTTGGAATTACGATACAGAGTAATACATGTATTCCTATTGTGTGAATGCCCATACTTGTTTGCAAACTACCGGGTAATGTAGGCCTTATGACCTAAAGGTTGCACATCCTGGCACTTTCTGGGGGGGTGTGTGTTATACAATAGCAATAATTTCCAATATTATTTCCTCAATTGAAAATTTTCACCGAGTTCCCGTGCTATGCATGAAATCAAATGAAAAAAAAAAGACAAACAAAAGTTGTAGTGTAAAACATGGCATGAGATTGGGCAAACTCAAAACTATTTTTACTGTATTTCCACACTTAATATTATGCTATACACATTTGACGATGGTCAATTTTAATGAAGTAAGGGTATCTCAATGCCATACTCCCCTCTGAAATAGAGGCATTTCCACATTGAACTATAAAAATGAAATTCATGTTCAGAATCGAATCATTTGATTTTTTGTGGCAGTAGATGGGAAAATCACCTATTTCTGAATTTAATGACAAGTGTTTGCATTTCATTGATAGTTTTTGTACTGCTGAATGAGCTGAATTAGGGAGAACACTAAAACTAGGATTATATATACATATGTGCCATACCATTTTTAGCTCCGCTGTCGACTTTGTGGAGCGGAGCTTATCATATGAGTGATTGTACGGCGGCGTCCGTGTCAATGTTTTACTTTTTCGACTTCTTCTTGAAAACTACAAGCCTGAATGCTTTGATACTTGGTGTATATGTACCTTGGGTAGACCTCTCTCAGATTTGTTCATTTCATGATCTTCAATTCTCTAATTTTGGTGAATATTTTTGTAATTTGTAAGGTGTTGAAAATGGATAGTTGTTACTGTCTGAAAATACTTGAATACTGTCTGAAATCAGGAAAAAATTTAAAAGGAATATTGTGGAATAAAAGCAGAAGAATTTGTGTGCCAGCCAGTCCTCTTAAAATCAATTAGAACCGCACTGCTGATCTCATCTTAAGCTTAATTACATGTATGTGCATGAACTATCTTTCAAATTAGTTTGCCTACTCACAGCACATGGATAAATACCTTGGGCTTTGTATGGTAAAGACCAGCTTCATAACTGATCATGTATAGGTCTATTGCTGCAGGGGTGTAGCTATACAGATACTGTAAAATGACTAATTTTCTCTGGGTTTAAATTACCATTTCAGTGTGTTTTATCATTTACCAGTAGATAATGTGCTCTATGCTAAATTGTACATATTCACTGGGTTTTAACTTAGCGCATTTTCCAGTCAGCGAAATAAGCAAAATTAAAACTCGGTGAATAATTAAACTTTTTACAGTATTCAAGTTCTGTAAATATTCATGTTTGGAACGTATTCAACTCATGTGCTTACAGTGGTGTTTCTATGTAATATTTTAATGATTCAATCTACAACAAATGCAAATTGGTATCCAGAAGTTTAAAAATCACGTTAGCTAATATTTTTTTCATCGCTGTACATAAACTTGTGATTGCACAAACTGTAAAATATTTTATTTTCGCTTGGAATTAATTTTCGCTTTTTCGCTGAAGGGATAATTCAGTGAAAAAAAAATCTAGCGAATATAACTTTCTTCCTATATTTCACATTCAACTCATCAAAAGTCGGTGAAATAAATTCCATACAAAATGCCAAAAAAAAACTTTTCAGCGAAAATTAATTCCAGCGAAAATAAAGTATTTTACAGTAATTAGGAAAATCAGATTTCCTCTATGAAGATATTATTTATAGAATATTGTTAAAGACATGTTATTTATAAGTACTGTGATAAAGCATGCCAGATACGGTAAATACAAAAAACAAACAAATTATATCACTTCAATTGTGTTGAGATTGGCAGACATCCTTGGAATAAGAGTCAAATTTACTTGTGGATAACAATTACAATGATACATGTATATGTAGGAAAGACTCATAATGTCATTAACTGTTTATGCTGCATTGATTTCCCTGCTAAATTACATACTATAAAGTACTACTTTTTCACTTAGGATTTATCTTCACTGCAGGGATGAGTCTGAGAAAATAAAATAAAATCCAATGAAACATTACCAGTACATCCAAAATTCAAAATAAATGTCATACAGAACAAAATATCTTTTCAGCAAAAAATTAATTCCAGTTATTGTATCAATATTTTTGTATGAATATTAATGGCTAAAATAAATGGATAAAAAAAAGATATGTATTTATGGTCAATGAGTATCGTCACACTGCCATGCTAGTTAATAAACTCTTTTCATGGCATGTGTAAGTTTGACCTTCAGTCAAACAAATATTCCTGTTTTGAAATCCCATGCTGGATTTGGCAACATCTGTTTCTAAATCATGCACTATCACATGCTAACTTGTGATACTATCTGATCTGAAAGTACCACCTATCTTAGTGGTTGGGATATGAACTTGTCTGCTTCCCTATACTGGTAATGTATATTTGGAAAAAGGTGTTTTACCTTGGTACAAATGAGTGAGTTCTTAATTTGCATTGAGCTAGGGAGTCTAGAGCTTCTTTCACTGCAGGGATTTAAATTGCCAGCAACATGTGTATGTACATGGTGCGAGTCTGAGATACTGCATGTTTTTAAGGTATGGAATTCTGTAAATTAAAGGGACACAAGCTGTATTTTCCACCAATTTGTTCATATTTTTTACTCAATCTGTTTTTGATACTGACCCAAATTGATCTCTGTGTTACCGAATGAGTATAGACATGCGAATGTGTTGTCTAACATGAAATAGATGTATGGTAATAGCACAGCAAATAATGTTATACGTTTATTGTACTGATGAATATTAGCTGAATAGGTCATTTTTTGCTTGCTGTGAGATCTTGTGTATCTAATAGGTGTGAACGATTATTTTTTTTATAGCTCAGTGTTGAAATGTTGATCTTCATCGAAATTGACAGTAATCAAATATATGTACATGTATACCATATTATTATGCATGGAAATGCCCATGGTCAACTGAAAAATTCTTTTCCAAGCTCTATAGATACTGAATGAGTCTTCTTATATAGCATGATATCTTAACATTTATTTATTTATTAGCATGCAACATCCCTCGGAGGGGATGAAAAGGGTTACAAATAGGATATTACTATTAGTAAAAGAAAAATAACTACATAAAAAGTAAAGAAACAAAAAGCATAAAAAAAAAAAAAGATGAAAATTTGTATACAAGGAATGTGTTACTGGCTTTAATAGTATATGTAGGTGCTGCTGTCTTGTATTAAAACAGTTTTTTAAATATTGTGCTAAAGGAATTTACATTTTCTTGTCATTTTCATTACTAAATTTGTCAAAATTTGGTATACATTTATTAGCTACAATGTAAAGTTTTAATCTTATTTCATTGTAGTGAGGACAATTTAACAGGCTTGTGTATTTGCTATCACAAAGGTAATTTTTGCCCAGTATTGCATCTATGAAAAATTGACAAAAAAAGTATGCTTTACTGTTACCATACAAAGGGCAGTAATTTCTTTACTTACATCAATGAAATGATGAACAATCTTTAAAATTGAGATAATTTATTTTTTCAGTATTGTTTTCAATTCAAATTAAAGAGTTAGTAAATAAATCACAGCTTGTAATAACAGTATACAGCCTTTCATCACTGATACTGTATACACTCAATCACTGCTGTAGTGAGAATTTCTAGGTTTACAGTTTCCTAAAGTCCTTGAATCATTTTCAAATATCTAGAAAAACAAATATATTTAGAAAAACATTCAAGATAACAACTTAACTACTGATTGGCTAGATAGTAAAAACTATGTGCTTACTATTGCAATGTTTAGATTACTAAATATAAATGGGCTACATTCTTGGTTGTGGCCTTAGAACTGATTAGTACTACCTTATACAAAAATATTTTTGGATATTTAGAGTACCAACAAATTTCTACTTCCGGTCCGGTTAGACTTAAAATACACCACGAATATTCACTTTTGAGATGTAATTTTTGGTATCTGTTGGTTCTGGGATATTCAAGCTTCGGCGTCCTGTATTTTGTTTAGTAATTCGAACTTCCCAGTTTGCGTAGAGAGTTTCGCGATTACAAAATCGAAAATGCCTTACTAGAATATAATATGTACAGCTCTGGTCATACATGTACATGCAAGTCTTATTTGGATGATCTAGTTTATAATCAAAGCTGTTTAATGCATGCACTTTCACTGTCATTACAACATGTTACAACTGGATGGACGAGATGCAATCTAGTACCAGTACAGTTTTTTATTTGTTTGGTGGATTTGACATGCCATACAGTTTTCTCAATATCGGTAAAACGTTGCTGATTTTTATAATCACAATCTTTGGTTTGGAGATAAGAACTTGTGTAGTTAGTGTATCGACATGTATCTGAGGTCATCATTTTTGGTTTGTGTGTGATTTTATTATGGATGTGCTTCAAAGAGTCATTAGCTTGACAGTATTTTATTGAAGCTGAACTATTGCTCCTACCAACAATTAACAGGAGATTATCTTTTGTATGTTTATTTGGCCAAATGTTCCATGCTGTGCATGGTTCATTTATAGTCATGCTGATTTAGCACCCTTGATGGTCAGGGCTCAGTCTATAGAGTTTAACTCTGTCAATTTATTGGAGCTACATAATGCGACCCAAGTGAACACATTTATGTGTAAATTTTCATTGATTTGAGCGGTTTGGCTCTGTCATGTATATATAAAATGTGGTGAATATTGTAACAACATTAACATGGATCTTTGTTTTTTTGTTTATTTGTAGTTCAACATGAATTCACCTCAAGAAGAAAAGGCTCATGGTCAACAACCTGACCCAGATGCTATAAAAATGTTTGTCGGACAGATTCCCAGATCAATGGATGAAAATGACCTCAGAGAATTTCTTGAAGAGTTTGGTCCAGTGTATCAGTTGAATGTGTTACGAGATAAAGTTACAGGACAGAGTAGAGGTAAGTATGAAGGTGATGAACTTTGTAAATACAAGATAAATATTGATTACTTGGTGGTTCTTCATTCCTCTTAATTCAGTGGAAATTCTGCTGGGTCATAAGATTAGTGGTGGCGATTAAAGAGAGCATTGAGGAGCTTAGTGCCAGGTGCAGCCTGATCCATCTATCTCTGATCCCTACAGAGGGTGTTATTTGATGCACTCATATTAGAGACAATATGCCATGATAACCATGCTTCAGTGCATGAATTTCAGAATACTCTTCCTTGGGATGTGTTCTAGGAAACTTAACCAAGGGGGTTCCCACAGTGCGACCAAATCTGACCTGACTGCCATCACTCATGTTGAAGATTAATTGTACCCTGATGAATTAATTGAAAAATTATACCAAGATATCGCGCTTTATTTAATGAGGCCCTATAAATGGCAATATACCCATGGTACATCTCACCTATTCAATTGACCTTAGATGCAAATGAACGCCAACATTTGGAACAGTGGACATGATCGCAGAAAATAAAACAGCCTTGTGCCTCTCAACGTGATCTGTGCAGCGCCCCTCTCTTTCAACATGATCTCTGCATCCCCCTCTTTCAACGTGATCTCT